TGGCCTCACCAATGCAGAATAGAGGGGGAGGAGAACCTCTCTTGACCTACTAACCACACCCTTTCTAATGCACCCCAGGATGCCATTGGCCTTCTTGGCCACAAGGGCACATTGCTGGCTCATGGTCATCCTCCTGTCTACCAGGACCCCCAGGTCTCTTTCACCTACACTACTCTCCAGCAGTTCAGCCCCCAACCTGTACTGGGACATGGTGTTGTTCTTCCCCAAATGTAAAACTCTGCACTTCCCCTTGTTGAATTTCATCATGTTTCTCCCCGCCCAACTCTCCAACCTATCTAAGTCTCTCTGAATGGCAGCACAGCCTTCTGGTGTGTCAGCCACTCCTCCCAGCTTAGTGTCATCAGCAAACTTGCTGAGGGTACATTCTATACCCTCATCCAGGTCGTTGATGAAGATGTTGAACAACACCGGTCCCAGTACCGACCCCTGTGGGACTCCACTAGTCACACACCTCCAACCAGATTCTGCCCCATTGACTACAACTCTCTGACTCCTTCCTTTCAACCAGTTCCTAATCCACCTCACTTCCTGGTCACCAAACCCATACCTGATCAACTTTTCTACAAGGATGCTGTGGGAGACGGTGTCAAATGCTTTACTGAAATCAAGATAAACCACATCTACCGCTCTACCATCATCTATCCACCTAGTAATTTCCTCATAGAAGGCTATGAGGTTAGTCAAACATGATTTACCCTTGATAAAACCATGTTGACTGCTCTTGATGACCCCCATGTCCTTGATGTGCCTGGAGATAGTGACAAGAACAAGTTGTTCCATCACCTTTCCAGGGATGGAGGTGAGGCTGACCGGTCTATAGTTACCCGGGTCCTCCTTCTTGCCCTTCTTGTAGACTGGAGTGACATTTGCTATCCTCCAGTCCTCAGGCACCTCTCCTGTTGCCCATGACTTACTGAAGATGATGGAGAGTGGCCTAGCAATGACCTCCGCCAGCTCCCTCAGCACCCTTGGGTGCATTCCATCTGGACCCATTGATTTATGGATGTCCAGATTACTCAACTGATCCCTAACCCAATCCTCATCTACCATGTCAAACTCTTCCTCTATCTTGACTTCTTCTGGGGCTATATGAATCTGGGGCTCATTGGGAGACCCTGCAGTCTGGAAGAATGTGAAGCTCAAGCTCACACAAAGCATCACTCTGTGATCTGTTTATTGCAGATGATTAATTTGATCATGATTGATCCTAGAGCATCAATCAGGAAAGCCTGTTTCACCACCATTTCAGATAAAACTGTGTGACCTCCGTGTTCCTGATTTTCCTATCTGTAAACCAGGAATAACAGTTGATCATTTTCATAGAAGTGTTCATATGCCATCAGAAGAAAGTTACTGTATAGAGGACAAATTAGTACTATTCATCCTAAAATGCTAATAAATAGCATTGCTGTCGATGCTTCTATTATCCAATGGGAAAAACATTTTTGAGCATTGCTAAAAATATGAAAGGATTTTTGTCCAATCTCCTTTACAGGGAGCACTGACAGCTCTCAGCACAGTACGCCAAGCCTGATTTTTGCGCTACATCTGCAATATCTTTTATACTCAGGCAGCTGGCACGAAGTGAGAAAATTCATTAACATGCTAATGATCTGTCCTATTTAAAATTCCAGCTCTGATTATTATGTGATTAAGTCTCTTCCCTTGACATCTACCTCCTTATATCTGCATTACTGTGAGAAATCAACAATTATTAATGAAGGAAAGAAATAGGTGACCAATTTATACACAAGAGAAAGACAAACATATAAACTCATTTTAGCATTTCCATTTTTTTGTTTAATGTTTTCCAGACGAAGCAGTATTATCTTTAGAAAAAAAGAAAAAGTAACATTTCAAAGTAAGTTTGCAGGAAGTTCACAGGCACAAAAGGTAACAGTTGAAGTGCTAGGTGACATAGAAATAGCCATGCACAGAAATACCTGTGCAGAAGGTTTAAAGCAGCTATATTTGGAAAAAAAAATAAATGGAGGGCTCCTGGTGCAGAGAAAGATAATGATTCTTCACTGGAAACATGAAAGCAAGAATGAGAGGTGACAACAGCTCCAGTCAATCTATCAAGCATCTCCTTTCTACACTGAAATTCATATAAACCCATTGACTTCTTTAAACTAGCATAAAGAAAGAGACTAAGAAACCTCTTTCTCTGTGTTGCTTTTGGTAACTTTAGTTTATGGATGGATGCCTATTACATAAAGAGTTGAACTGAAGTGTAGCACAACTCCTCCTCACCGTGCTGTCATAGGTACAGCCCTACTACTCACCAGAAGATGGACCCAGCCCTGATAATTTTTGCTGTTCAAAGTTGCACAGCTAATTTGTCCTGCAGGGCTCCCTAATGACCTACCCACAAATTGGCTGCAGCAAGCAATGGGACCAAACACTCAGATTAATTTAACCCACAGCACAGAGCAGCTAAGCCCATGCTGCACTACTAGCTCAGGCAGCAGAAGCATCTCAGAAGCCACTTTGATGGTGTGATGACATGCAAGGGACAGGCACAAGGAAAAGGAAAGATCTCAGATTTCAGTGCATGTGTCTCTGACTAGTATGTGCTTGCTAAGTTTTATTTTACAGAGGGATAATTTTCTCCTTACGCCTACAGAACCACAATAAATTAAAAGAACAATCCAAAACAGTAAACACCCAGAGTTTTGCAATTTATGACAAGAAATTGTAGGACAGTGTGCTGGTTTGTTTTGCTAGGGTTTTTAGTAGCAGGAGTGGCTCCAGTAAGAAGCTGAGAAGCTCCCGCTGCCCCAAATCCAGCCAAGGAGCCAGGAGAGGGACAATAGATGTGCCTCTGCCATTAACATAGGAAAGAACTGAGATAATACCTGAGCAGAGGCAGGAGAGGGACAGAAGAGCTGTGCTGGGGAAGGAGAGTGGTGCTGGTGGTTGGTGAGGAAGAAAAGTAAGTAGATGCCCAAGCAGACGTTTCCCTGCAGCCCAAGGTGAGATGGCAGCTGTGCCCCTGCACTCGTGGAGGAACGTGGTGGAACATTCCCTGAAGGTGCCAGGAGGGATGAATCTGGCCACTGGTCTTGGATTTTGTGGCCAGAGGATTTGCTGGCTGTGGACTCTGATTGCGCAGCTTGGGAAGACCCCGGTGCCAGGAGAGTTTGTTCCCGAAGCAGCCCCTGACTCTGGGAAGCCCAGGCTGGAGCAGCTCCAGACCTCATGGGAAGGACTCAGGAAGGAGAGGTTCATGGAGGA